TTCTTCGTCATTGTGGGCACCCACTCAAAATAGCTGGAGATACATAGAGTTTAATCTGTGGTGACAATGATAAAATAAACTGTGCACATCTCTTGCAATATATGGACTTCTGGAAGTGTTGGTCACAGATAATGGGCTATCGTTTAGCAGCAGGTAATTTGAGTATTTCCTAAAGTCGAATGGTATTCAACAGGTAAGAACAACTCCATACCATCCATCATCCAATGGACTGGCAGAAACAGCAGTCCAAATTTGAAGGCAGGCTTGAAGAAACAGCCTACAACTTCACTAGATACCAAACTGTCCCGGTTCCTATTTGATTATAGGACCAATTCTCATGAAACTACAGGGATGGCTCCAGCAGAGTTGTTAATGGGGAGAAGACTCCGCACCAGGTTAAATCTGATCTTCCTGGACCTGGGGGAAATGATGAAATGGCATCAGGAACACCAATGCCAGACACAAAAGTCCACTAAGCAAGACAGACAGTTTATTTCAGGGGACAAAGTTTAGTGTAGGAACCACAGGAATGGCCCTGCATGGGTAAGAGGCATGGTCGATGCGAAGTCAACTCCAGTGACATACAAAGCTCAGGTAGGTGCGACGGTCCTGAACAAGCACGTGGATCATATGAAACTCGCAAACAGTACGAAAGCAAAATGTGACCGCTTCTGACTGTTCCAGAACCAGTAGGTTCTCGCTCTCTGTCAAGCTTTGAAGATACCTCTGAATCTGAGCTCTGAGATGGTGGATGTTGCCACCTCAAAGTCTTTGCCGCCTGAAGAAGAGAATAAATTTCTTCCGAGATGCTCTGGGCACAAGAGGTGAGCTACTGTGCATTACACGCTGCCTGTATCAGAAACCTGACTGGGTGCTCCAGGAGGAGTTACAAAAAAACGAATCAGCCTATGTCCTCAGACTTGGAGATGGAGGAATGTAGTGATTCTAACAAGGCCAGTGCGGTAGACTCATAGAATGTGTGTTCCCTGATTGAGGCTGTTAATCTGGTCCAGTCAGGGAGCCCTGGCTGACAGGTGAGAACAGGAGTGTCAGACATCCTGTTGACTCTGAGAGCTGGCTCTGAGGGAGCTGGATCAGTGTCAAGGACTCTCCATGGGTAAATAAAGTGTGACTTGGTGATGGGATAGTGGCCTGTATGGAGTTACTTCAAGGTGCATAATCTTTTCAGCCATTTTGTGCAATATTGAATGAGTGCTGCATTGTCTAATGCCATCTGTCAGATGAGTTGACTCATTGAGACTGTATTCTTATGGTTCAGGTAAATGAGAAAGATTCAATGGTAGCAAGGCCACAAGACAAGTACTCGGTTTTATTTCTAGTGGGGTAGAATTGAAAAGATGGGAAGCTATGCCCAACCTGCGTCTAATGGCCATCTATATGATTCTGTTCTCTTCCCATCATGTTGTATCCTGAAGGCTTATTGTCTGCTGATCTTTCATCCTGAGCTTTTTCCTTTTGTTAAACATGGTTTGCCATTGTGTTTCACTCTCGGACAGAGTGAGGAGGCAGGTCCCAAGTCTGCCTCTATAATAAAACTAAGAACTGTGGATGCTGGAAATCTGAAACTCGGCCGGTCGGACAGCATCTGTGGGAAGAAGGCAGAGTTAACATTTTGAGTCCAGTGACTCTCCTGGAGTCTTTGACTCTGCTTTCTCTCCTCAGATGCTGCCAGACCTGCTGTGTTTCTTTTAGCAATTTCTCTTTGCTCCTAGCTTACGTCTGCTTGTTCAGACCGACTCTCTAGGTATTATTCTGACCCATAGGGTAGCTGTGTAGCCAATTGAGCTAACCTGCTCCCAAGATGGTCATCAAGAAATCTAAGTGGGAATTTGAGTATTTTGCTCTTTCTGTTTGGGTGAGACATTTTGTCAACAGACTTTGAATTCCATATGGAAGCATTTCATAAGAGTTTTGTGCACAGCTTTTCATTAGGATTATATAAAATAAGCTGATTAACTGGATTGTCATGGGCTTAATTGATTATAGCTGATTATTCTTGATGCAGTTGATGCATGTGTATAATTAGCATGATTCTGTGGTTATACTAAAATTTGTGTATTTCCTCACTGGTTGGGTAATGGAAGATGCAATTATAACACCAAGTTTGGAAACTATCTGGCTCAATCTTAGATTGCTAGGGGATGGAAGGAAATGGAGTTTGTGGGGGTCACCAAAGATAATGGTGTATTTTAAAGGACAGGAGGGGAGCTCTCCCAATATTTTGGCTGGCATTTATCCCTTAACTATCATCATTGATAATCAGGTTATGCATTAATTTTTTTTTTAATTTGTGGAATCTTACTGCATATGAATCAGCTGCTCTATTAGTTTGTGTAGCAAGGGCAGCTGTCCTTAAAAATAATTGTGAAGCATAATCAGGTAATGGGGATTTGGTGAAGTCCTGTATTAATGTAAACTCTTTCTTCCTTACTTTCCTTTCTGGAATACTCTGCTATTGGAGAATGTTCCAACTTCCTACACGGCCTCAAACCCAAATGTCACCTCAAGTTGAGGCTGGGTTTCAGTATCCATCTCTGAGGTGAAGTGTGATAGGCAAGCATGGCTGCTCTAAAGATGTTGACCGGTTTCATTTGAAGTTGAGAGCTCTGATCTTCCCATTGTTTAATTGGAGGACCTATACTGAATGTTGGGCAAACAATCTAACAATTTTGGAGACAGTGGGGGCGTAGGCAAAGATGTCACTGATTATGCATGTGGAGACTGACGCTGGATTATATCACTGAAGGCTGTGTGTTGATGTGAAGTAAGGGGTGGTCAATGCTTTCATTGCTCAGACTTTTGAATATAGCAGTTGGGAAGTCATTGAGGTTGTACAGGACATTGGTGAGGCCTCATCTGGAGTACTGTGTGCAGTTCCGGTTGCCTTGTTATGGGAAGGGTATTATTAAACTGGAGCGGGTTTAGAAGAGATACACTAGGATGTTGCTGGGAATGGAGAGTTTGAAATATAAAAATAGACTGAATAGGTTGAGACATTTTTCACTGGAGTGTAAGAGGTTGAGAGGTGACTTTTTATTGGTGTTTATAAAATTGTGAGGGGCATAGATAAGGTGAATGACAAAGGTCTTTTCCCTAGGGTGTGGGAGTTCAAAATAGGGGGCAAATTTTTAAGGTGAGAGGAAAAAGATTTAAAAAGGACATGCGGAGCAACCATTTTACACACTGAGTGCGTCATGTGTGGAATGGACTGCCCGAGAAAGTGGTGGCAGGTTTGGAGGGATATGGACCAAGGACAGGCGCAGTGGGACTGGTTTAGTTTGAGAACATGATCGGTGTGGTTGGATTGAAGCATCTGTTTCCATGGTGTAAGACTCTATTACTCTATGATAGACCTGTAATGGTGAGACCACAGTTAGTAATGCAGGAGTGGAAAGTGGAGTAATTGCGCGTGTCCTTTTGGTTATGATTGTATAATAAATGGAACCAAGAATGGACAATTCTACTCAGCTGGATGATGGAAGAGGATGTTGTGGTTAGCTATAATGAAAGCTGCCAATAAGCCAGGAAGTGTGAGATGAGGCAGGATAGTTTACTATGAACATAGTCACAAAAAATGTCACTTGTGTCTTTGATAGCAGCAGTTACAGAATAGTGGTGGGGGCGGATACCTGGTTGAAGGGATTTAAACATGGAATTGTGGGCAAGATGAGCATGGATTTGGGAGATGATGTCATGATCAAGAATTTGTTACGATGAGAGGGAGATTGGAGATGCGATGGTAGTTAGAAAGAGCAGAGGGCTGTTATAAAAGTGTGCTTATATCAAATATTGAACCTAACCCATCACCTGGAAACAGGAATTAGACTTTTAAAAAGACAGAGATTTTTGTTTCTTTGAAACAGACTAAAATGGTCCCAACTTTCATCAAGATGGGTGACATTAATTTGCATTACACATATATTCCACATTGAACTCTGTGGAGATGACATGACAAGTTTGCAAAACTGATCGTAGATAAGTTAGCTTGATGAACCCAATGGTATTTGTTCTCACCGTCTCAGTAAATGAGCAGTGGGATATTCTATTCTATTTTATTGTACCTCAGTGCTGAGAGTAGCCAATTCCTGTCAAACCGAAACAAATATGCTGATTTTTGCTGTTAATCCCTTAACCCTGCCACTGCAGGGAGGGCTGTTAAAATGAAGGTGTCAGTTTCCTCCTCCACCACCACCACACACATCTCCACCCACCACCCCCCACACCCCCCAACTGTGATATTGCAGCTTCCTGCTAAATCATGCTCTTTGGAGCATGTGAACAGGACTCTTCAGGAAGGGAACCTAATTTTACTCCCAAACCTAAACTGGGGAGCAGTGACAGCTCCTTCCCGAGACTTGGCCTGCTGCAAGTTGGAGCATGAGCGGGAACGTCTGGGCAAATATGTTTTTAAAAATGAAATGAGTGCTTCCTTATTGTCCCATGGCGTGCAGTGATCAGGTTCTTGTCTTGAGATAAATGTTGAAGTCCTGTTCCAGATACTTGAGCATGTCTAGACTGACACTGTAGTGAAATACTGACAGTGCTGCACTGTTGGATGTGCTGTCTTTCTGATCAGACACTAAACCAAAGTCCTGTCTGTCCTCTTAGATGGACAGAAAAGACCCCATGACACTTTGTGAAAGAAGAACCAGAGTGTTCTCCTGGCCAATATTTATCATGTTTAGGAATACAGCAGGTTTTCAGCACATTGGGTACCAGTGAATCGAACTTTGCCTCCCCTTATTTGGGACCACTGTAGCAATGAGAACAGGAGACCTGGCCCTGAAGAAACAAAGGCTATGTAATAAGCAGCTGTTTACAGTCTACTGAATAACTTAGCAAAAATTAGATTTAACTGTTTGGCTATATTGAGAAGTCATTGAATGTCTTCTGTTCTTGTATCGCTAAGTGTGCTATAATTAATATGTCAGAAATCATTCTGCAGACACTAATGGCATTGATTCCATTTTATTTTTCAGAGAGAAGTCAAGACAGCGTGATTTTGGTACTCTCTGATTCTAACTCAACCCAGGACATCTTCACTGATGCAGCCAGTTCGCAGGACAGCAGCAGGAAGATTCAGTCTGGGAAAGGAAGCCCCTCATCGTCTTCGACTGTGGAAGCTACTGTGTTGTCCATGGAGAGCCATGGAAAACTAGATGAAGAGGATTTAGTAGCTCGAGCTTCATCTGAGAGTTGTAAAGGAGGCAGTGTAGAGATCACAGAAGCCATAGATGCTTTGGCTTTGAGATTGGCAGAGCGCACAGCTCACAGAGTGCCCACAGAAGCAGCTGCACTGTCCAGGGAGAACTATCGGAAGTTGGAGGAAGAGGACTCGGTGGGGCGCATCTGTTCTGAACTTTGCAGAGGAGGCAATGTGGAGATCACCGAAGGGATAGACGCTTTGGCTCTGAGATTGGCAGAACAAGCAGGAGCAAAATTGCACACAGAGTTGCAGTGTCAAACTGCCACCATTAGCACTACTAATGTCACTGCCACCAGGGCCACCACCTCGTCTCTGTGTGACTCAAAAAAGAAAACGGCTGAGCCTTCAGGAGAGATGAAAGACACCTACAGATTGGAGGATCTCCCTCAGAGCTTGCCAGGAGATGAGAGGGAGCAGCGGCGAGTGCTGACTGAGCAATGTATTAGAGCATTGCATCTGTGTCTCAGTCGATTTCCTCAGCACTACAAGAGTCTCTATAGACTGGCATATCTGTACACATACAGTAAAACACACAAGGTATGTAGTTGTCATTCTCCTTCCTTTTAGGAAACCATACTCAGTTTTTTTTATAAATAGCAGTTTATATAACTATAAAGTTAAGGTGATCAGCTTTGACGGAAACATTGTAGATGATGGAAAGATTGTGTAGATAATATGAAAAAGAATAAGATTGTAAACCATTGATTTTGGTGGTGGATCGGGAGAGGAATTTCACCTTTGGAATTGTTAGTGAATAATTTGAGATATTTATTTTTAATGGTGTGCAAATTCTATCCGTGTCTTAGCAATGCCAATTCCAAAAGTCAGCATTTTGAAAAGAACAAACATTTTTGCTTTTGAATTATTTTATCAGGAGAAATTGCTGTCATCCTTTTCAAAGCATCAAAGTTGTGACAGAGATAAGGGGTTAAATTCAGGTATCAATCCTTTTGAGATGATTTGAATAAATAGAGCATGTTTCTGGGGGGGAGTGGAACACAGTCTTGTCAGTGATTCGGCGAGCAAAACTGAGCAATGTAATATTTCAATAGTGATGCTCTCGCCCCTAACCCAGATTTGTGGTGTTGATTTTAAAATTGAAACAGCCCAGCAGAGGGAGCAGTGACTACTGATCAGTGTTGCGAGCAAAGGAGTGCACATAGTAAAGCCAGAAAAAAAAAATGCGGCCACACTAGGAAAAGACCATTTAGCCTGTTGGTTTTCAACTGGAGTGATCCACACTTACTAGATTCTCCTGTTTTTTTTTTTCCCTCTTTGTCGCTGCTTGTTATAAAACATTCTGGGTTTATTTTGATGAAAGCATGAAATCAGCTGCTGAACTGATGCTGTTTGCCAGACAGGCCTGATTGAAAGTTTGGTTTTAGCACATAGTTTTGATTTTGATACCCAGTGCTTGGAGGTGTGACACCAAAATGTTGTTCAGACTTCCATGAGATGCAGTGGGCCACTAGCACCATGAAAATTGTATTTAACTACAATCTGTAACGTCATACTCTGGTAAACCCCAAAGAGACCAACCCTGATTAAGTGAGGAATGTAAGAGAGCATCATCAGGTACTCGTACAAATATAGTGAAGTTATGACACAAGACCACACACCTGTTAAACAGTGCAAGCAGCATACCATAGACGGCTGAGTGACTCCACAATTAATGGAGAAGATTAAAATTCTGTCAGTTTGGGGTATAGAGGTGGGAATTGGAATTCTAATGGGAGGAGGTGGTTCAAAAATATACCCATCCTTAGTGGGGGAAGGCCAGTGGGTCATTGTGAAAGGTCAAGGCTGAAGCATTTGCAATCTCCTTAAGTCAGAAATGCTGAGTGGATGACCCACCTTGGGTCTCACTGTCACGGGTGTCGATCTTGAGGCAATTCAGTTCTCTCCAAGTTTTATCAAAAGATGGTTAATGTAGCAAAGGCAGTGGGCCCCAACAAGAATCTAGCTATTGTACTGAAAACTTGTGCTGCATAATTAGTCACGCCTTTAGCCAAGTGTTCCACTACAGCTACAATTCTGGCACGTAGCTGCTAATGTCGAAAATTGCCCTTGTGTGGCATGTCCATAAAATGCAGGATAAATCTAATTCAGTCAAATGCTATTCCATCAGTCATCTCTCAAGTATACGAAAGTGATGGAAGGTGTCATTGTTAGTGCTGTCTAGCAGCACTTATTCAGCACTTGGCTGCTTATTGATGCTCAGTTTGGATTTTCCCCTGAATCACTCCATGCCAGACCCTGCTGCAGAAACAGTGATAATGTCACCACTGTCATGGTGACTCTCTTCCAGTTTCCATTGTAGCACTTGTTTTTCAGAAATTGTAAATGAAGCTTAAGTGAAGGAGCTGCTTAGTTTTTACAGATTTTTGTGTATTTGAGCTAGTTCTAAATTAGTTTCTGCTGATTTCAGAGGGAGATCCCCTGACGATGAGCGATTTGTCATATTGTTGAGTTGATAACTTATCATTCAGTTACTTTCCTGTTCAGTAGCTGAGGAGCATTTGGATACCGCCACAAAGGTTTTCCTCACTTACACAGCAACTCAATAGAATAGTCTAGGTGGTGTTTTGTCAGAATTGTACTGTGATTCCTGCGTCATAACAGTATTTACTGTGCCTACATAAAGTTAAATTCTACCCTGTAATCCATTTATATCCTTTAACCCATGCCAATTCTTATCCACCCTTTGACCTTTTGTGCTAACTCTGTTGCTTTTCCTTCAGGCCTATGCTTGTATGTTGCACCTTTTTCTTTAACTGTGCCAGTTTATGCTTGGCTCAGTTGGCATTGATGTCAACTTGGCTCAGTTGGTAGTATTCTCACCTCCTGAGTTAACAGGCTGTATGTTCTAGCCCCATGCCAGGACTTGAGCATGTAATCTATGCTAACACTTAGTTGCAGTTCTGAAAGAGTCCCATTACATTGTCGGGGATCTCACAAGTGACACTACCAAAACAGCACACTCATCATTCAGCTCATTTGCTGTTTCTGCAATCTGGTGCACAAATTGTTTGCCTACAGAACAGTTACCAGAATTCAAAAATAATTCATTGGTTGAAACATGCTTCAGGATATTTCAGATACAGAGGTGGTTGATGCCATCTTAACAAAAGGTTATCTGAAGATTTTAAAAAGTTAAAGACCTTGTTTTTGTCACAATCACATGACAAATATTGGAAAACAAAAATTCAGCTGAATTCTGCCTTTTATTGGTACCCTTCGTATTTCTCCCCATCTTTCCACCCATCCATTTTTTTTCTGTTTCAGCAAAGGATCCTTGAGATCGGTGTTCCTTTCTGTGAATGTCACAGTTTGTATTTACAGATTAGAGATATCGCCTTGAAATGCTTCTGCATTCAGTAGAATATCATTTGAAGATTGTTGTTACCTCTTCACAGTATTTTCCTTCACTTTTGCAATTTTTCTGCACTATATCATTGCATAAACTCCCTTTAATGTTTTGCTTGTTATATTTCTTCTTATACAGAGGATTCCTCCAATTTACTGTCCTGCGTAAATCCTCTTCCAATCCCAATAGTCACTTTTCCACTTGATCTGCACTGGTGTAAATTCCTGTTCCTTATCAAAATCATTTCTGGTTGAATTGCCTTGCAGTCCCTATCTAATCCTGTTTCTACAGCAGTTAAAAAACTCTCCTTGTTTTTGAACAGAAGCTTCCAGTAGATCAGAATCAGCTCTTTTCTATAAAAGATCTAATTGTTCTGAATTCTTCGTATATCTCTAAATTTGTAGGACTGCAGGAAATAGGAGTAGGATTGAGCCTTTTGTCCTCTTGAGCTTGCTCTGCCATTCAACTAGATCGTGGCTGAATTTCTACTTTAACATTATTTTCCTGCAATATCCCCATATTCCTTGATATAGCTAATATTGAGAAGTTGGTTGATCTTTGACTTGTAATATACTCCATGGACTGAGCCTCTGCACCCTCCTGAGATAGAGACTTCCAAAGATTCACCAGCTTCTGAGTAAAGAAATAGCTCCCCATCTCAGTCCTAATTGGCCTGCCTCTTATTTTAATAATGCATCCCTTAGTTCTAGCTTCACCAACCAAAGGAAATGCCCCCCCTTCACCTACCCTGCTGAATCCTGTAAGTATTCAATATGCTTAATCAGATTGTGTGTGTGTGTGTGTGTGTGTGTGTGTGTGTGTGTGTGTGTCCCTCTCTCTCTCTCCTTCTAAACTTGTAAGAGAACACAGTGTCCTTGATTTCTCCTCGGAGGACAGTCCCACCATCCCAACACCTTTATTACATTCCATCTGTGGCAAATATATCCTTTCTTGGGTAAGGAGACGGAATCTTTACACAACTCACCAGGCGTGGCATTACCAGAGCTCTATACGACTGCAAAATGACTTCATTCTTGTACACAAATCTTCTTGTATGGACAGCTATTTGCTTTCCTAATTCCTTTCTACCCCCAACATGATAGTTTTCAGTGACATGTAATGGAAACAAGTTATTTTAGACATCAACGCTTCTCAATATCTCACCATTTAAAAAATATTTACCATTTATATTTTTCTTTCTTAAGTGGATTATACCCACTTGTCCTTCCCTGCTCAATTAACCTGTGTAAAACCCAAAAAAAGTCCGCTAATTTCTTGATTTACGACATGCCCTACATTACTCCAATGTTTGGCAGCCTAAAGATAGCGAGTACCAATGTTTGCACCTCGTCCTAATTTTTAAGCTGCACCCAAACTGATACTGCATCTTGATCTGTTAAATCTAAGGTTGTCTTCCACTAATGTTTTGATCTCATGCTGTGTGCGTTTTGATATACTGCCTTTCATTCAGTCTTTTTATTATTTTTCAGCCTCTAACCCTATCTGCTTGGTACCTTCCTATCACACTCTGATTATTATTTTCTTATTACTGTCTTACCATTTTTCTCTTGTATCATGTCTTCCCTCACTTGATCCTACACATCCTTCAGTGTGCAAGCAGGCTATTTGGCCCATCGAGTCCACATTGACCCTCCGAAGAGCATCCCACCCAGAGCTACCTCCCCCACCCTAAATCTGTAACCCTGCATTGTCCAAGGCGAATCCATCTAACCTGCACATCCCTGAACACTACAGGCAATTTAGCATGGCCAATCCACCTAACCTGCTCATCTTTGGACTGTGGTAGGAAACCAGAGCACCCAGAGGAAACCCACGCAGGCACAAGGAGAATGTGCAAACTCCATAAAGGCAGTTGCCTGAGGATGATATCGAACCTGGGTCCCTGGTGCTGTGAGGCCACTATGCACACCTTCACTATGTAGATAGAAGCCCCCTCTATTGCCATAGTTGTAAGACTTGTGAAAATACTAGACTTGGCACAGTTCAGTGACGACAATCCTAAAACTCTACACTTCCCAGATTCCTCTATACTGGTGCCCTTCCCAGATTCCTCCATACTGGTGCCAGGATTCCTTGAATCCAGGTGTCATCTGTCGCTGAGTCCTCCTGTATCTCACTCATTTCATTTTCTCCCATTCATCTCATTCAT